TGCAGTAGCTGTAGTATGATTTTTGTTCTCATGCTGCATGACAACTTTACTTTTGTTTTTTCCAACGTTTTTGTGTACAGGGTCCAAGTTGAAGTCCACAGGAAGAAGTGCTGCTGTGGAGAAGAAAGAGAAAGGAGTGTCAGCAGAGGAGGATGAAAAACCTCAGAAACCACGAGAGTACGCTGCGAGATATCTTTTCATACCACAGTGAACCGAGCTAAGAGAGACTCCTCACACATCCTTTGAAAATCGAATCTATAAACATGACTCCATCTTAAGTTGGAAATGTGTTCAGCGTTAATCACTCACACCCTGTGGATGAATATGATTGAATATTATTTTGGCTTTTCCCTACAGTCCCAACATGGTCATCCATGTGTGCGATGAGACCAAGAACCTGAAGCAGGACTTCACTTGTCCCAGAGATCTTCTGGTCAAGGAGATGCGTTACTTTGCTGAATATTTATCTGTGGACCCCCAGAGGTGGGAGGAAGTTGACATCTCAGTCCACTGTGACGTGCAGATCTTTGACTGGCTTATGAACTACGTCAGGAGGAACTCAGCAGGAGAGGGAAACAAGGACAAACCCCGACTTGGTAAAAAGAAACAAGAACAGAAAACAATCAACATTATTACACATCCCTGAGCTGTCATTTACACCACCTGTGGCGCTTGATTTATTGGTCACTAAACGTGGTGTGTGTTTGGTGCGTCACTGGCTGCGTGTTCTGTGTTGTTTGTCGTTCGTGGGGTTTGCTTGGTTGGTCATGTGGTATTTGTCGGTTACAGAGCCCAGCAATGTGATCTCAATCCTGATCTCCTCCGAGTTCTTGAAGATGGACACGTTAGTAAGTGTTGTGACATGTGACGCAAGGTGTGGTGATGTGCATCGGGCCTTTTGTTTTTCAGCTGTGAGCACATTTTCTTAGATATATCCAAAAAAAATGTTACAGCAAAGGTGCAAAAGTCTGACATTTGCCCAGTAAGGCGCAGGCAGTGTGTAGAATGATAGTTCAAAGGTAACAATGGGTAATTGCTCCTAATCCACAAAAAAACAAGAGGCCTACACACAGAGCTTTGTTAAGTTAGTGTTGCATGAAAGTGCAGATGTTCTTTTGCCCCCGTGCAGTTATGGTAGCAGTGTTTTCTCACCACTACTCTTAAGAAGAGCTAGAACTGCTAAAGAAGTGTTGAAATGGTTTAGACGGAGCATTGTTGAAAGGACATTTCCCATTTTTGTTTGATGAGTGCTCTGTATATGCGTCTGGCTCAGGTGGAGGAGTGCATCCAGTACTGCCACAAGCACATGAGTGCCATTGTGGCTACTCCCTGCAACATGAACTGCATAAACAGCAACCTGGCCACACGGATCGCTGAACTCTTCAGCCACAACGAGGCCGACGACATCAGGGACAAAAAAGACAAGTTTAAAAGGTAAGAGGGGCGAGCTGCTTTGCTTATTCTCGGCACCGTATTTGTATTCTGGGTCTCTGTGAATACAAATATTTGGACAAAGCTGTGAATCAGCTTTG